CTATTATTATAGTCATTTGTTTCAATTAAACGCCGGGTGATTTTACAATAGCAGCCGTGAACCTGTGTGAGTGAGCCATCACTCTAAACAAGATGGCTCCAGTCAAGCAGGCAGTGGGGAGAGGAAAAGTCTCGGGACTCTCAGGAGCATTGATCACTGTGTGTTCAAACAGGGCGGGACGGGACAGAGAGGGTCTAAGGGTGTGATTAAAGCAGACCAGCAGGTGATGTCGCTTTAAAATCCAAATACTAAAAGATAAAAAATGCTTAATCATTTCACCTTTCATTTACATTTGAAAGTTAGTGACCTAAAAGTGAATAAAACCTGCACTTGATTAAAAACTGACACGCTTAAGATTGATTTACTCATTTTTAGATGATGCTAAAAGTTGAAGCACAACATTTATTGATTCTTTAGCATCAACAGACCGGTTTATTATGATGCCGGGGCATTAAAACCTCGCATAGCAATCACCCCACTAATTTAAATGGTGAAACAGATGCCACTCTGGTATAATAATCATAAGGACGGAGCAAGGTTAGCTGCTTCAGTCTCCTCTTTCTCCTTGTAGCTATATGGAGCTCTCCTCTCCCCTTTTCTCATCTCTGTGCTGGTGGTCAAATCCCCTTAGCTAAATCAAATGGTGCAGGCAATTGGAGCGGCCGTGAAAACCATTTCAAAGGTAGGGTCAGCAGGAGCAGGAGAACAATGGCTTTGTGATATTCCATCTCACACACAATGTGCTATACATAATTGGAAAGCCTTTGTTATTTGACTCCCATTTGACTATGATGTACAAGATGTGAATACAAACACGACAGGTGTAACGATGGCAGAGGAGCATGCTCACACTGAGTTTCCTGGCTTTACATCACAGTTTAAGTCTGCCTGGCTGCTCGTCACCAAAAAGCAATATCTAACTGTCCTCTCGCTAACTTCGGAGATGGATTTTAGTACTTAAGTCGTGTCTTTTTCCTCCGTTATGTCTTTTTGCCTCTCTCTTTCTCTCTTCCAGCGTCATATTTCCTTTCCTCCTACTTTTCCTTCTCTGCACTCAGATCTCCTGGGGCTTTACAACAAACAACTAAATTGCTGGAGGTTAAGCACAGCTACAATACCCAAGAGAACTTAGAATCCAACTTTATAAGTAATCTAAATATAGATTAATATAGATTTAGGGCACCGCATTGCTCAAGTTGGCAGTTATGGTTCATAATTGTACCACAAAATACAGCAGTTCAGAAAAAAAACGATGAGCAAAGTATTCAACGAGTTAGCTCCTTCAGCATAGGATAAGACTACTTGTACTGCTATCTTTCTCAACCTATAACCAGCTATCAGGTTTGCCACACTCAAAACACACAGACCATCATGACATAATTGTCACGCTTGGCCACAGACCAAGTCATATATCCAGGAAAGAAATCTCTATTATTGCAGTCTATGACGACAGTCCATGAGAAGGCCATATGTGTTAAATACTGAAAGCAGAGTGCGCAGTGACCAACCAAGTCCTTACTCACTGTGCCCTCCACCCCCCTCTCTCCCATTTGGATGATACCATTAGGAATTAGCATACAGTACCTATGGCAACCGGCAACCTTTGTCAGATTCTTTCATAATATTTGAACAGCCGTCTGCTGCTCGCTTTATTTAGCTCAGGCTTGATGGCGCTATGTGATAACTTCTTTCTCTTTCCGTCTCACACAGGTGAAAGAACCAACTAAAAAACACCCGGAGACATTTAAAAAAAGTGAGATAGGAGTAACAGTTTTGAGTAATGAGCGCCAGTCCTTTAGGTGTCAGCTGCTTTTAGTAACTGTAATAAGGTTGCATACACTTTCATACTTAGGAATCAGTGTCTCTGTGATCACATTGAGATGTCTTTGCTTCTAAATTAGCCGTAGTATCAGTTTCATTAGACTTTCACTGATGTGCAATACTGAATTTGCGTCTGTGTTTTCTGGTGATTTGCTGCTTCATTAGTTAGGACAGAGCACTCAGCTCTAATGGAAATCGAGTCAATGCTGTGAGGATAAGGAGTGGCAGATGAAAGTGCGCTGGATTCAAAATAAAATCAAGAAATACAGTGAATTATTTATATTTTTGCTGAGAATGAATGTAATTTGACTCATTTCTTCCACAAGAATAAGGTGAATTGGTATGTAACGTATTGTCACAATTTCAGAAAACAAAGTGTCACAAATCAATCAGTTAAAAATGGGAATTTAAAAATAGATTCATGTAAATCTGTTAGAGCGCGAGTGACCCTTTTCTGTTTCTACTCTTACGAGGCCGACACCCGCTACCCATGATGCCGCGGTGCCTTCCCCCGGTGAACTCTCTGCGTGTCTCCTTCTTGTTTATATTAAACATGGTGTGGCTCAGATTAAAGGGTGACAATTTTGCCTGGAGGCTGTTGCTATGGAAATGCGTCTGCTACAGCTATGATAGGCCATTCATGTTTGATTAATTGGTTTTTCAATGCTTCTTGGTTTGTGAGGACCCTTAAAGAGCAAGTCCGTGGCAAATGGAAAATTAATGGATTTCTATTTCCTTCGCTTTCCCCTTTCTTCCTCTTTTCTCCCCCCGCCTGTCTCACTACTTATTTTGCTGAAGCTGTTTCCTCATGTTTTAAGAAGTGTAGTGATGGTGTTTAGAATTATGATTGGAAGTTGGAGATTGCCATGGATGGGGGGAGGTTAGAGCTTGGTTATTTGAAATGCAAAAAGGAATGTCTTTGTTCATGGCTGGCTTTTGTGTGCAGCTGCTGAGGCAAAAACAGAATCTAATGTCGTGTGAATATTATGAGTTTCCAAAGCAGGCCAGAGCCTCGTACAACATTACTTTGTTGTGCATTTGTATTCTAGCAATCTACTGGGACCAATTATGATTAGAGAGCCGAGCCTTCATCTTTGAACCTCTACTCGTGTTTATCAGGACCTCATATGCACGGGCCTTTTCAATTTGATCTTTTTAGCACTTCACTAATGTGTAATGTATTATTTAACTCGTAAATATTTAAAAGGGCTAACAAATGCTAGTTCATCACTTTCTGATCTGTAAATTGCCAAACATTCCCATTTATGCCGACATTAAAAGCATCCTTTGGTTGCGTGCTCATGTTCTGTCTTGATGAATCTTGAAGAAAAGCTTTTCATGTAGCTATTATTGGAGATCTTTTAAGATGGCTAAGAGCAGAACTGTGTGAGAGTCTGATTCTGTAATCGCTCTGAAGGGTGTTCTCCACGTGGGGGTCATTCTACAGCAGCGAGCACCGTTTTTGTTTCTATTCGTGGGCCCCAAGTGTTGAGAAAGGTGTTGTTAAACATAGCAGTAAATCATATTTTTCTCTTTCATAACACACAGTGAGCATAATACATCTGCAGGGGGTTGATAGGGTTGTTATCAATGCTATTGACGCAACGATTGCTGAGCAAGGTAATGAGGTTTCTGGCTTCTTACTACTTCATTTTCAGAAGCAGGAACTGAAGTCTTCCACCAAACACCGACCAGGTCACTGTGTCTCAAGGCCCCGGTGGGCCTGCACTTATTGGACTTTCTAGTGATTGCCTAGATATAAAAATAAGTCAATATGAAATTACTGATTGTACCTTTGATTGTTATTGAGAGGTCCTATATAATTTTGAGTTAAGTGATACTGGTCCTATGAGTTACATGACTGTGTTGAATGCAACATTTAGCTTGAGGTACAGTTCCAACTCCCCCGAATAGGCTTGTAGGCGTGGAAAATACTGACTTCAATTGAATGGTGAAAAAAACGTCTTTATTAGATTGTTACGTCGCGATTTCCATAGATAAACCTGCAATAACTGATTTTCTTTTGGCTACTTATACAGCAGAACACAACATTGACATATTATCACCTTCAATAATGAGCTTGTTAGCAAACAGTTGCTCATCTTACACATATAAGTAATATTAGCATTCATTTAGAAGCTTATCTCTGACCATCTGATGAATTTAAATCTCATATTCACTCTCATTTTAGCTCCTTTTTTGGTCTCCACCAACTCCTGAGAAAGGTATCTGGGTCTTCAGCTGATAAATGCTCCACTATGTTCACCAGCTAGTTGCTAACTGGCTACTATTTGGTGTTAAGCAGGTAGTGTACAGTAAACCTTTGCCTTCTGTGGACTGTGAGAGTCTCACACTATGAAAGCACTAAGAATTAACCAAAATAGTAAAGTTCTTGGTCAGAAGAAAACAAATAAAGAGTTTAAAGGACTTTAAAACACTTGTATATCTGAGGGGAGTCTCTGTAGCTTCAACTCTACAAGTTGTCATGTGATCTATATAAAAATGCTGCTTATAGTAGCTGCTCTCAATAGTTGTCCCTTCTTCTAGTTTGTGTTTTGACAATGATTTTCAAATAATTTTTACTTCAAAAAATGGCATCTCTAAAAGGGTATGTTTGGGTCACATTTGCTTGATTGACCCATCACAGCGAGCCCTGTTGTCTGCTGCTCTCATCAGATTCCATCCAGCTCCAACTCACTGAAAATTTAGATTTTCTGGCTCCCTACTTTTAGTAGGTATATGTACCAACAGTGAACGAGAACAGTCTGAGAGATTTCATGTTCTTAGTTTTTTAGAGGGATATTTAGCTCATTAACCGCCTTGCTCCCAATATTCTAATGTGTAAAGGTCAGTTGTGCCAAAAAGCAATCAATAAAATTGGCCACAAGTTGGAAAATAGTGCCTGTTACTGTCTTGACAAAATACTGTTGCAAATGAAAAGAGAAGCTTTCTAACCACCAGCCTCAGTTTAACAATGAGACCTTTTTTGTCTGTCTAGCTTTTTTCTTTTGCGTCCCTCATTACAACACGTCTAAAAAGTAGTTTTTGGTCTTACTTTCTCAAATTTGAAAATGTCATCTCCACTCTTCCAAGTCTTTGCATATTTGGCTAATTGGCGAACTTTTATTACTTTGAGTAGAGGAGAAGATGGTAAAGCTGGTGTTCTTCTCTCACCCCAGATGCAGGAGATGGCTTTGCACCACCACCAACAGCAACACCATCACCAGCACCCAGATGGCTCTCATTATGACCCCGCCCGTAACCACCCCCTGATAAACCGCTCACCTCCGATACTCCCCAACCCCATGAGTGCACTGACCCAGCTAAACCCTCAGGTCAGCAGGAGTGCACTGCCTCATGGTTCCCCTTCACCTCCGGGAAGTAAATCGGCCACACCCTCCCCCTCAAGCTCCAATCAGGAGGAGGAGACTGATCCTCATTCGAAGGTACTGATGTAGTGACGCTTGACTGGCTTGTAGTAGTGGAGTAGGAGGCGAGGGGCTTGGCAGTTCTTCTCAGAGATGGTTTGCATGCAGAGTGTTGAGCCTAAACGGGAATTCAGGGGTGCTTTTGCTTTTCATTGGGTTGGGTGGAAAACTGGCATGGTTGCAAAATGTTGCTGCTGAGAGGAACTGAAGCCATTTTTTCTGCATGTAATGGTGTGGTGGAGTGTGGTGTCACATTTGAAAAGAGAATTGACTTGAAATATTGACTTCTTGATTGAATGTTGTCAGTCATATCTTATTTGGTCAATGGAGTTACAATCTGGTTTGAAAACTACTACTCTTTCATTTCAATCACTCATTCGTTTAAATAAGAAGAGAAGGACACTTGTTTCGATTTGTTTGATTTATGTAAATCTGCTTTCATAAATTGCCCACAAACCAATGTCTCTGTGGAATTGCTTCGTTTCTATCAGAGGAATGTGAATGAGTGTATAATTGAATGGGCCACATCCACAGTGTTTCAGATTCATCGGTGTATTTAAATGCTAGCTTTTTCTTTAGTTAAAGAAAAAATATATATATTTATCCCTGCATATACATCTGTGCTGTGCCTCTCACTGTTTGTGTGAATAAAAAGGATTACCATCACTCCTATCAGTAAGTAATTCCATTTGCTCTCTCCAGTTCACTCTGAGACCACTTCAAAGCCGGAGCAGTTACAGCAGGCAGTTTAAAATTCCTTTCACCCCCATAGCATGAAAAGTCAGAATTTATGACTTGCTCAACAACTGAAAAATAAAGATTTGAAAAGGTTTGATAAATTGAACTAACAGATGTTATTTTTGACAAAGTAAGGCAGAAAAGAACTGCCAATCAGTGTCGGTGTCAAAGTGTTACTGTCAGTAAAGCGTTGCTGCAATATTCAAACGCTGACTAACAGAGAGCTTGAGTTATGCATTTAACGAGGTTTACATGCTTCACTTGGACCCAATGTCAGAGATGCAATTATTCACTCCAGTTGAATTGGTAGCTGTCGTTTCTGCAGTGTCAATAAGTCGTTTTGTTTTTTGTGTGCTTCTGATGGTCTTCCAGATCACGGGCGAGAAGCGGCCGTCTTCAGAGATGATGAAGCCCAAGCCCAAACCCCAAAAAAAGAAGAAGAAGAAGGATCCCAATGAGCCCACAAAGCCCGTGTCAGCCTATGCCTTGTTCTTCAGAGACACCCAGGCAGCCATTAAAGGACAGAATCCCAACGCCACCTTTGGAGACGTATCCAAGATAGTGGCCTCCATGTGGGACGGATTGGGAGAGGAGCAGAAACAGGTAGATTGATATTGTGTACACGTACACTCAGATTACGGGAAATTGACTGTTGATCGATCTTTGTACTTAAAGCAGGACTATTTAACGTATGAAAGAAGGGTTTGGCAACGTGTGCTCAGCTTAACAAAACGCTGTGAATACAACACTGACATTACATTACATTACCTAATTATCATCTTTTAAGTTGAAATAGGGAACTTGGTAGCAAATGTATCCAGCAAATTACTGAGCAAGATTAACATTCATTTGGAGTTGTGTGTCTGGCCACCTGGCCAATACAAGTCCAACATTCATTGTCCTTTTATCTCTGTTTTTGGACTCTGCCAACTCCACAAGGGAAATATTTAGTTGCTCCGCTACGTTCACCAGCTAGTTGCTAACTTTATCTGAAGATAGAAAACAGTGGGTTTTTAGAACAACTGCCTGCTGCAGCCGAAAACAACACTGAGTCCAGCCTCGTTGTGGGGCCCATTCACATGAAAGGAGCAAATAACTCTGGATTTTGCGAATAGTGCATTTTGCTAATAGTGCATTTTACAACTTTGATGTCCGAGGACCGAATTAAATAAGGGCTTCAGGACTTTATATGGGGAAGTTGATTCACCTCAAAAATGATCTGTTGATTTACAGATGTTTATTCCCAACGCAAGTCTTTGGGAAAAAAGGCTTTTTTTGGCCCCATGGCATCACGTGACGAACCCGGAAGTTGTAATTCCACCGTTTGGCCACTATTTCCAATTTGCTTTAAAACCTAGCACTCTTTCAGGGAGCTTGCTGTAAGAGCAAAAAGAGTGAACCAAAACAGGAACACCACAACGTGGAGCCCTGAGACGCTGTAAAGCGTCGTAGAGCTTCATAGAGGAGGGGAACTGCGAAGTACTCTGTGACTGTATCCCTAAGACTTACCCATTTTACGTATCATGTGATCTATTGTTGATGACACTTTTTGCCAGTCAAATGTAAGTTGCTAGCATGAAATTAGTGTAAACCCGCTCCACTACTAAATGTTTAGGTTGTGGTCATGCAACTTCACAGGTCAGGTTCACCACAAACACTGTGAACTCCGCAGAGAATCCACAGGTTGTCGAGTCTCGCTGTAGTAACACACGGGGCAAACTGATCTATGTATCTGTCATGCGACAACTAAAATTTAACGACATGGCTTGCAGCTCTGGTATTGCTTGTTACAATATTATGTCCTTCTGACTAGTTAATATGGCTACCTGGCAGGTAGCCAGTCAGAAAGTTTTAACAGAAAGTGCAGTCCTGTTAAATTATTTGTACAAGCATTGGAGCGTCCTTCATATAACATGATCTAGCACATACATTTTACCCAGAAAACATGGGTATGATCAAGCTATCGATGTCAAAAGTGTATTACCAACCTTATTTGTTTCTTGTATGCTAAAACTGCATAATAATATGTATTTAAGAATATATATATATATATATATATATATATATATATATATATATATTGAAAGAAGTGAAAAGTGTGTTGCCATCAGCAGTGTAGACATATTTCCCTGAACATTTTTCAAGAGTCTATTTTATTTTATGACCCGACGTGTGCAAATGGAACCGCATTAACATTTACTGCACTTTAGAGCATTTCCACCCGCCGCATTTTCTATTTCATTTTAGCATTTCTAAACCAACAAAGTCAAAGAAATAGACTAGATGTGTTTTTTGGTAACAAATGATGGTTGTGAAATGAATGGAAAACGAGACAGTCTGATGACCATGCGCAGGCTCATATTTTTAGAATATCCAGTCAGGGCGCAGCCTATTGGGTGTCAAATAAAAGCACCTGTCTCCATGACAAAGTGCAGCCCATTCTCCTCAGCCCCAGCCACCGTCGACTAGACCCCCATCTAGCATGCGTGTGTTTTTTCTCCCACCAAACCTACCTCATACGCTGGACTTTGGAGGCCGTCTGTCCCTTTTATTTGCAGTTAATTTTTGCCGCCTTCACCGGGGCTCTTCACCATGAATCTTCATTTCGCCGCTGACACCCTTGAATGTGAATTCCTCATTTCCTGTCCTTTTATTTATATCTGTTGCCTGGTGATTTGATCATGCTGCGAATACAAGATTAGCAATTGCCTTGTCCTTGGTTTTGCCTCAAGGACATCTGCTCCTGAAATGTTATTGTTTGTGCTTCTTAACCCTTTGTGTCCTGGCTTCCTTTCCACCTTAGATTTTGCACTGTAGATGCAATGCTCTCTCTCTCTCTCTCTCTCTCTCTCTCTCTCTCTCTCTCTCTCTCCTCCTAAATGCATTTGTCCTGCTCAGTATTACCTGGGAACAGAGATGAAACTAACAAAAGGGCAGTTCCACCATTTAAAAACATCCATTTAGTGTGCCATTCCACCGCAGATTTTTTGATTTGTTTGTGCATTTATGTGTTTAATCAAACGTGTCACCTCGCAAGACACATAATTAACGCGAGGTAATGATGTCATGATGGAATGAAATGTAGGACCCTGTCTGGGCAATAACACTGTGATTGCTCTAATTATTCTCTGTGACTAACACTGTCACTTATTCCTGCACAACAAATGCATAAACTTGATAACCGTGTATTTTACAGAGTGTAACCATGTTAATAGTCATTAAAGATATTAAAATGTCTGTCTTCGGTCTGACCAACACATTAAAGCATGCAGTAGCCACAACTGCTGACCAGTAATGTTCAGGTGAAATACATCGAGGATGAAAGCTCTTGGTGCCAGGGTCTCATACCTAAAACATTTTCTATCTCTGCCTGCTCTGGGCCTGTTGATGTATGTGCCGTTATGTCTTTTCTCTTCGTTCTTTTTCCAACATCGGCTGTCACGTCATCTCTATAGGACCGATGAGGTGTGTTCTATAATGTCACAGTCAGACCCTCTGGAGCCATGCAAGAGCACAAGAATGTAAACACAAGCCTTCCCCTACACACAGCTTTGTTTTAACTAGAACGTGGCCCCTGTTTCCAATTACCTATGGTACTTCTCAGACGCACCATGCAGCAGAATTCACATAAATGGATTGAAGGCGGCATGTTTTATTGCTGTATTTTATTGAAGAAACGATCAGAAGTGTCATTGTTTTGATTTGTGTTCCTTTTGCGATTCTTGTTTGTTTTTTTTAGCTTCAGTGTGCATTTTCCCCACTTTGATAGCGTTGTTGTGTATTCTCCAGTGTCACCCTTGAGTTTGGTAGAACAAAGTTTTTTTTATTCTTTATTCATGTTTGTGTTTATAGTTTCCTTTTTATTAATATGTTTTCAGATGCCTGCATGCTTTACAGCGTTATTTAATTCCCGAAGGCCTTTGTTTTATAGCGCAAGATCAATGCGTTCATTGGGCTGCATTATTCCTCAAGGTGACTACATGTTAAAGCTGCCCCAGAAACACAAAAGAACATTTTTCTTGTTTTTGTTATTTAAGATTAAGATCAATTTTCCGGCGTTTTTTTTTTGTTTTGTTTTTTTTACAGCAGTGGGGAGTAACAGTGATAATGGAGTTGGGTAGGAGGGAGGAGATGCCTTAGCTGTATTTAATTGACTCTGCTGTGTTGGAGTTGTGTGAAAAGGACAGAAATAGAAGGAAAAGAACTCTGTCGCTTTATTTAAACTGCATACTTTGCTATCAAACTCCTTCTATTGGCTGAGTTTTAGCATCTATCAATAATTTGTATCGATTTTTTATTCAGTTTTCTGCCTCTTTGTCGAGCTTCAAAATACACTTATATGCTTTTCTGTGTCTTTTTTTAATGTTTAACTTTCTTTTTCTCACCTCTCCTCTTCTCTCCACTTCCTCCTCCTCCTCCTCTCACCGGTCGCTCGGCTTTTCGGTCGTCGTGGTAATCACTCCCTTCAGTGTCAGCAGGGTGCGGAGTTATTGTCTTCTGTAATTAACTGGTTATCAAACAAGAACATTTCATTAAGGTACAATTAGGGGCTAATTCAGGCGGGACACCTCTGTGTCAGGATTACGATGGAGGCATATGCTCTCCCCTTGCAGCTTTGTTATTTTTAATTCATACTGACCTGCAGCCTCTGACGGCTTCAATTGCTAATGAATCCACTCACTTTGGAATAATTAGACATCCTTAGGCATGGTAATTTATTTAAAAGTATCCGTCGTTGCGCGAATCATTAGCTGTGTTAAATTGATTTGAAATTAAAGCTGCTGGGAGAAGTTTGGGGTTCATTAAAGAGGCAGCCATGGCTCTATCAATATTTAAAGGGGTGAGGGGTAAGGTTGTCAGGTTTTTTTTAGGTTTTTTTTACAAGAACTGTATTTTATTTCTTAATGGGGATTATCTGTTTGTATTATGAAAGTCTGCGGTGTATTCCTGTATTTTGTACTTCCTAAGTCAATGCAGTCTTGTTCCAAAATACCTGAATGTATATGATGGAAGGGAAATAACAACAATATTGTAAAAAGGAATGAGTGAGAGGATAAACATCATCTCTTTAAGCAAGAGATTGTATCCGTCTTCATCCCAGTTTGTTTGCTGTTCTGTGTGCATGTCTGTTTGTTTATGACTGTATGTGTTAGCAGCTGCCAGCCTTTGTGCATTTGGCAACCCATGAATGCTTAATGGTTATTCTACCCCACCTCTTTGAAAGAAATGACCCCGTCCATGGAGCCACAGACTGTCTCACACTGAGGATCAGTAATTACCCGCTGCATTCAAACACACGTTCTCCTTCATATTAAAATGCTCCAGAGAGGAGCTGAGATCTGAGTCTTCCTCATCGATTTAAGGGTGGACTTTTTGCGACTTGTTTTTCCCCGCATCAAAAGGCGGTGGCAGCTATGAAAAACCCGTGAGTGACATGTGATGACATTAACTTGAATTCCCTGTCTTAACGCATCATTTGAGGTTTATTCAGAAGGCTTGAGATTGCCTCTTTACTAACGCTGTTTTGAATTATTTTATCCCCCCCCTCCTCCTCGTCTGAATGATTTGCTGGGACATCAGCTCTGATTAAGAGATGAGCAACAGCCTTAATAGAGGAAGAGGCTGGAAAGCAACGCACAAAATGACAAACAGCTTCTCGTTGCTCCTTTAGCGTCGTAATATTTCAAACTCCATTTTCACATTGTTGCATTGTTGTTTGAAGGAATAAATGATTGAAATGCAGCAACACCATGCATATGGCCAAATCTCCTTCACTTGATAAATGTGCGGAATGAGTTTTCCGTCACAGAGCTCACTGCTGGGTCACACAATCACACCATGACTCCCAAAATCTCATCCACATCAGTCACTGTGGGCCACTGGGTCATTTTAGCCTTTGGCATCACCTTGTAATCAATCGTTGTTGTTGTTGTTGTTGTTGTGTTTGCTCCTGCAGAACTACAAGAGGAAAACAGAGGCTGCTAAGAAGGAGTACCTGAAAGCCCTCGCCGCCTACAGAGCCAGTCTGGTTTCCAAGGTAACCACGGGGGTCACATCTTTGATATACATGGGTCAGCAGCGATATAAGGGATGATAAATTAGACAGAGAATTCCTCTCACTCTTATTCCATGGAAAGGGTCCACTTGCAGCACTGAAGGGTCAGTATGTTTGTGCATGTGTGTCTGTGTGTGTGTGTGTGTGTGTGTGTGTGTGAGAGAGGAAGAGAGAGAGAGAGTGTGTGTGTGTGTGTGTGTGTGTTTGTGTGTGTTCTCAGAGGAGAACAGTGAAAATTAGGTCTCAAACACACCCAATTTGCAACCTGGGGAGAAATGAAATAAGTAACCGTACACGTCTGTGTGTGTGCGCGCTCATCATTGGGCACATGTAAGAACAGAAGTGGGCATTACGTATCATTTGCTGTCCTCCTGGTGTTTCTGTCCTCCCTGATGGGCCACTAATGTGTTAGCTGAGGTTCGCTCACACCTACTGCTCACTCTTTGCTGCAGTTTACTCCTGTTTAGACCAGAACGTAAACACCTTTCTAGCCGCGTTTGTCCAAAAAAAAACGTGCCCGAAAGTTATATTTTTATAAAAAGATGATGTCATATGTTCACCAAACTCTTCGTACATCTGCAAAGCTTACACAATAGTTATCTCGAGCGCACAGGGGTGTTTCAATCTGTTGGTGCACTGCGTTTCATTTCAGTGTTTCGGCATTGTTTTCGTAACACAACTCTAAATTGCATTAGCATATACCAAGCTCCTCCTCTTCCCCCTCGCTCTTCCCAGTCCTCCTTCCTCCCCTCCGCGCAGCGCCGCACTTCCTCTCATGCTCATGGGCCGAAAACAAGCACCTTGATTAAGGCATGAATAGTTAATTCATCAGCCTCTTCACTGTGGCATACTTTCAACTAAAAAGACTATTCTCATCTCTTGTCTTTGCTGCAATTAGACATTCATGTCAGGGCTCCCATACAGAGGCCTGATTGATACTATATGTCGCTAGATTGCCAGTCAAAAAAGTGACAGCCAATCTGAATGCAGGGCTGAATCTCATGATTCAACGCGACTTTCTTTTTTAATTACCAATGAAGGAGTCTTTACAAAGTGAATTGGGACGGGTGGAATTGGAGGTAATTGGAGTGTCATTTGGAGGATTCACATCTTCAGAGTGCACCTGTTGCCTTTTTGTTTTGTGACGCATGTCAGTTTGTTTGGGAGGAGAGGAAAAAACAAAAGTGTGATTGCTTCCCACTGTATGTCATGGCACTTCTCTTGTGTTCATTTGAATCCAAGAGCTCCCATATGCAGAATGTGATTCATAAAGTCCAAATGAAAAAAAATAAAAAGATTACACAAATGTTTTAATCCTCGCAAACTTTAATTTAAACACACACACTCTTTATATGTTTCCTCGGATGGATATAAAATCATGCAATACATCACCCTACCCTAAAATTACCCCTTAGAATAAAATATGATGAAACAAATCACACCCATCCTCTCGTGCTTTTCCTTCTCCCTTCACACCATTTCTTCAGTTTTTCATTTTCCACTTGACCCTGCAAATATATCTGACCCTCTCTTTTATCCATCCCTCCGTCCCGTTCCATTGATTATTTCATGGGTTCAGAGGAATGGATGTGAGCCACTACTAAATAGCAGACCACCACACATCACTCCAGACCGTTTGACAGCTAATGAGAAACACTGGATGTACGTATTTCATACATACACCACCTCATAAAAGAAAGGGAGATGTGTGTGTGTCGGGTCTCACAGCATCAACAGGGGTCTGTGTGAAATAAATAAAGAGAGGAGCAACAGAGCGGCGACCGTGTTTAGCATTAGCCGCAATGGCTACACATACTTTAATTTCTTTAGATAATGAATAGTATAGATAAGTGCACTCTGTTACAAAACTACCATTTAAAACCACATTTTCACAACAAATGTAAGTTTCTTGGAAGAGGAGCCATGACACTTTTCAATTTATTTCATGAAGTTGTTTGGATAATTGCCTTTGAATTTGAATTTGCCAATATCAGCTGCTCTTTTGCTTCATTGACATATTGTTCTGAAAATTTGAGGAGGCGCAAAGAATTGTGGGACATTTAGTCACTATCAGCTATTGTATGCGTGTTCATATTGATCTCAAAATATATTTGCATACTAATTAGTATGTATCATTTTCACACTATTAGTACATATTATAAGCAAATTAGAGACAATGCTGCTGCTTGCAGTGCAAAACTACAATAATTTACACCAAAAAGGAAATGAGACAAATTTTAGATCTGCATTTCAATATGTTGAGTATTCAATTCATATGTAGTGGTAACATTGTACTCATCGAAGAAGTTGCTGAGATCTGGGAACATGGCAATATCAATATCAAGTCACACAGGACAAACAATATAAACTCTCCACATTCAGGTTGTAAACAGTTCAGCCAGTTTATCTAAATCATTTTATTTGGAGGTAAGCACACAAAATGTCATTGCACAATGATAACTATAAACAAGAATAATATCCACGTTGCAATAAGCTGTTATGTATTGTAACAATGAGTGTAACCACTTTCCTTCTCCTCCGTCCACTCTAGACGTATAATGATCCCGTGGAGACAAAAACAAGCCAGGCTTCTCCACACATGATGCCAGCGAACCCGCCCCTGTATAGCGTGCCACCTCCCCCCCAGTCGTCGTCGCCCTACCTGGGGCACGGGGCCTTCCCTCTCACCGACCTGCAGAGCTACGCAGGACACGCCCCTCGCCACGCCCTGTCGCAGACGCTCAGCCAATCGCAGATGCTGCCAAGCATTAGTGCCTCTCCCCCTTCCTCCTTCCAGATCAGCCCACCCCTGCACCCCCACCAGCAGCTCTCCCTGCACCAGAGCTCGCTCCTCAACCAGCCTATCCGCATGCAGCAGGTCCAGTCCCAGCCAATCATCTCTCACCAGATGGGGCTGCAGGCCTCTCTTCACTCCCCACCTCCTGGGCAGCAGGTATAGCATCAAACAGAGACACGCTCCATTCTAAGGAATAGTTTATACTTTAAGATGTTGACTTAACTTTCTTTCTTTCTCCAGGGGTTTTCCCACCTCCAGTCAGAATATCAGAAGAGTATTGGGGGTTCCCAGTCTCCAGGAGCCCCTGGCCCAGGTCCTGGAGGGGCTCAGAGCCATGACTGGGACAGTGAATACTGCAATCGGGAGTGTGGCAACCACTGCAGGTCAGTTGAGACAGAGGAGACTGTTTTTATTTGCTTCCCCGGGTCTGTTTTCCGCAATAACCTATGCCACTGCATCACATCTAATCTCATAGTCTTGAAGGACATTTTGAATGGAGACAAATTCACTGAATTCAACCAAATGGACATTTTCCTTTGCTGTTTGATGCGTTTACTCAAACTAAATAAATATATATATATATATACGAAGTAAATGCCAAGAGTTTTCCAGGTTTGTCAGATAGATATAGTCCAATTCAAATCTTAGACCAGAGCTCCCTGAGAAACAAGCATATATCTTGTCAGACGTCTTTCCCACTGCTTTCACAATATAAGTGTTGAAAATTGTCAGCTCAGTTCCAGTGAGACAGGCGAGACAGCTGGAGAGGTAATGGTGAGATAATAGAGCTTGTCATGTGTTTGTCAGACAGCAGTAAAAAAACAGATGTTCCTTACACAAGTTTTCACTGTTATTGTGCTAAACGGTTTGGCAGGCGGCGGAGTCCTGCAGCACGGGAAGATATTCAGAGGTCGTGCCAAAGTACGAGGACATGTTTCGTTTAATTTGCAGGCTTTAGTTCGAGGAAGGTAGAAGTAACAAGAATGGGCTTAAATTGTGGGCATTAAAAGTATCTGCAATTTGAGAAAAATATACCTCCTTTTGTGCTTGAAGCCTTCTTCTCTTCACCGTTGTGTCTTTTGTTCGTCATCTAACCTGGGCTTCTGTTTTTTTGTTTCTCTCCAGTGGCAGCATGATTGGCAGGGACAAGCCACTCTACCTCACCTGAAACTGAAGATCATGCTCGGTCGACAAATACGACACAGAGAAGTCTCCTCTCACCCCACATCCCCCTCGCCCCTCTCCCCTCAACCCTCTTCTGACGCACGCACACTTACACACAGTCTCAACATACAATAAGATGCATTCATATACAAACACTCTCACACACACACACACACGCCGCCTCCCAAACCAACACCACCACCAACACCTTTTTTTTGTCAATGTAATGATTATTTCTTTCAGTTTCTAGAAGAATTTGTGACCAGAGTTTTTTGACTAGATGACTGCTGTCTGTACCACTTAATGTATTAGCAGTCCTCCTGCTGTTTAAAATTTGCCAAGCACTTATGAGGCCCCCCCTCCCTCCGGCTCCCACCCTCCTCTCTGAGTTGTGTGTCTATGGCAGCTCGGATACAGCCCGGGCTGTAGAGCACTCCTCTTCTGTGTCACCATCAAAGTCCCCTCAGGGACCCCATCCAGCTTTAATTAGAATAAGAAGAAGCAAAAATATATACTCTTTGACTTCTTTAATCATTTTAATTTCCTTTTGTGTTTTTTTTTTAATTTTCCTTTTTGTTGTTATTGTTTTATTTATTTCTGGCTTGCAAAACAGTTTTTTTTTTGCCAATAAGCGTCGGGCCCTGTACTGTAGAAAAATATTAACTTCTAGTAGGTTCAGCGCAGGCTTTGATGTTATGGTAGCTTTGCTTAAGGGCCTGCAGATTGATACAAAAAGCTTGGGTGGGGGAAAGAAACAAAACAAAAATAATCTTTTTTTAATATTAAAGACCTGTTGAGGTCTACTGAGCGGTCACAGTGTGATTGTAAATATCACTTTTATGGGATCAAATTGGGAATTGGAAGTCCAGATAGATTTGTTTCTTCTTTAATATTACATGTAAGTCATTTTGTGTGTGTGTGTGTGTGTGTGTGTGTGTGTGTGTGTGTGTGTGTGTGTGTGTGTGTGTGTGTCTGTCTGTCTGTCTGGACGTTAGAATGTACCCCATTCATGACGTGTGAAGTTGAGTGTGTATGTGCACAGACACACACTCCTGCGCAAGAGTGTGTCAGCGTTCGAGTGTCGAGTCTTTCTCGTGAATTTTAACAGCCGTGTTCAGCTGGATTTCAGAGGAGTATTTCACACTCTCGTTCTTGCATTAAATCTGTGCTCACTGGTGTGTTTTTTTTTCCAATAAAGTTCAATCTAAAACTGAATACACAATATGTGTCCTGCAGATCATTTATTTGGAAAGAGCCAGGTGAGAGATAGAGAGGGAAGAGATAGAAAGAGAGAAAGAAACGCCATGAGATAGAATGAGATATAATGTTGCGGTTGGAGGAAAAATAAAAGATATTGCTTTAAAATGCCCCCCCCTTCCCCCCACCTCCCTTTTCTTATTTTCTCTGACCATAATGTCAATTTTGTCTCCTCGACATGCACAAGTGAAGTAATGAAATATGTGAATGGAGCCATCACATCCACATTACAGTGATTTTTATAAGTTTCTACTTGGTGTTTGGTTGTGTTTATCTCATCTTTTTTAACTTTTTGTGTGATTAACAGAAATGCATTTTGCTGACAAAGACATCTGTATTTATCTCTTTACTGTTGCATAATTTCAGTTTTAGTTGTTACAGAACTATAACATTTTAAGTTGTGTAAAAAAAAAGCAAAAAAACCTGCCAATTGTAGTTATTTTATTTGTAAAGCCAGTAATGATAAATATTTTAAATGGTTATCAATATATTGTTTTTCCGCTAGTTATCCATCAGCCATTTATTTGACAGGTTTTCTTATTTATGAAAGAAATTAGATCACTTTTGCTTCTTACAATGGAGGTGTATTTTTATTCTTATTTTATTGTTCCATTTCCTTTGGTTTGATAAAAAATGATGATGATCACAACAATGATTTCTTTTTCTTTTTTACATTTTGGGTGCTGCTCCCTTCCCCCCCTTGCCAGCAGCACCTGTTTGTGTCACAATGCTTCTTTTATTTCAAACCTGCATAATAAAAAAAAGTTTAAAAGTGATCATTCCCTGCAGACTCCTTTTGTCTCTTCTTTTCTAATGAGATGATCACACATTTGTTTTCGTTTTTTAAGACATGATAATCGTTTCAAAGATCCACGAACACCCCCAACGTACCGAACCTTACAGTGTGTTTGCACTTAAGAGGGTCACATTTGTATCCTATATTTATTTTTAGCTCAGGACTTCAATGGCATTAGCTAATTAGCCGTGGATACAGAGTACGCCAGCCAGCGTGGATATTGCCAGTAAACTATCTTAACAAACAAGAGAGCAGATGCGAGAAGACGTTTGCGTTGCTTGTGAAAGTGGTGCATCGTAGGCGTCTAGTGTGAGATAAAGAGAACAGAGAAATGCAATGTGCACACAAACTCAGGCAAGCGTCCAAGTACTGATTTTACCCCAATTGCACACAAGTCTTCTTAGAGACTTTCTGAGAGAGAGAGACGGAGAGATTGAAATGGAACTGTCACGATCCCTCTATTCAATGTTTTATTCATTTTACGTCTGCCCGCCGTCTCTTCCTCAATAGTATTGAATTGGCAAATAGATCATTATTGGACAATTGGAGAACCTGCCACTTTGTGATATGACACACATTATATGAAAACCACAGTCATACATTCTTAATACAATGCAATATAAAAGAGGCTTTGGGTGCTGCCACACAGCACTGTCTGTGCCTTTTGTGTGCGCAGTCATGTGTTTGTATGAATAGCTGTGTGGTTTTTTTCTGTGTTTGGGTGTTGTCTCCCCTCTCTAGCTGCAGTTATATTCGTGCGTACATGGTAACAATATCTTATTTCCTTTACTACATATTCCCTCTGCTATACACATATGTATGTGCCGGCAGTCATTATTTCTGTAGTAAATACTGCGAGAAGACAGTATCGCTTTGACACTCCCGTCAGCGCCCTTAATCCCGTCTCTCGTCTCTCGTCTCAGAGTCAAAGTCATGAGGCCGACAGAGAATGAAAAGCTACAATTTATAGTGGAGGACGCCATTGAGAAGCGGTGAATGCAGCGGTGTTGTTGGATAGCAGAGAATCCAAAAGACCAGCGATGGCATCAGTAATAACAGGCTGGTTGACAAAGACAAGGTCGATGCGGTATCCATCTAGAGAGAGAAATAAAAGTGATGCAAAACCACTGAAAACTCACTGTTTCATACTGAATCAAAAGTGCAACAACTTAATGAAAGATTTCTATGTGTGTGATTTTTTATATATTATTAATGCTCTGACATTGATGCAGGTTAATTTATCAGCCCGGCAAGATTAATTCATGAAAACGAGCCTTTATCAAATCCAAATGAAATTTAAATGAGTCACCTCAGCACTATTTTGTGTTCCCTTTTGGTCTAATGTGTTTAATATGCTCTTCAGGCAACATTTAATAAGTAAAACAGAGATTTTATTCTGTCCATGAGGAGCTTTCATTTAACCAAAACATTTATTGAGGTTTAATTAATGATGAAAGAAGTGTCCAGTGTCCTTAAAATTAAATATTTGATCCAAATGTTGGATTCAACGACTCAGTAAAACAAAGCAAATTCTGCTAAAATGTTTGTCAGTGCTGGAATCTGTCTGCCTGACTGCCAGATTATCATTTATTTCTTTAGATGTTTATTTAAGTATGCAACTGAATAAAGATGCAACCATGCATGTACAACAGGTTGCGCATGTTTGTAGACGATGAATCTGAGGTCAACCTCAGCGTGTGTGAGTCTTCGTCTGTGGAGTCGCTCAGCTAACGGTGGAACATTTCCATCACCGGCAGGCTCGTAAGATCCACCCTGTCAAAAGCGAATTGTTCTCTTAAAAATGTACTTTTATTTGCTGCATGTTGTGGTGGAGCAATGCAAGATCACAGTTCAAGTGAGCGTGAATATAAATATGGTTAATCTGAGAACATGAGACAACTACGGAGCTGGAGCTTATCAGTCCTTTGGAAGTGGTGCAGGCCAGAAGGTCAGTGCTGTGGGTGAACTAAAGGCAGAGAGCACCAAACACAGCAGGCTGTTCACAGACCAGCTAATGTAGCATACAGGCAAAACATTTCAGTTGCAACCTCTGTGCTGCGGTGGAGCATCAAGCAGCAGGAAATGTGGGTGGTTTTAACAAGAAATGGGTTTCGCTTTGTTCAGAATCAGTTGGGGTTTCTATTTTTTTTGTGCTGACTCTACTGCACATAATGAACTAGTACATTAACAACAAGACAATATAGCTGATCTTTGCATTAAATATTACAATCGTCCAGAATTAATTCCGCATTACTTTTAATTTAACAATTTAGCAAACATTTATATTTGTTGAAGACCTCTTTGTGGAACCTTCGAGCTGCAGCTTGCATACTAACTGCAAAAAAACCAGAAGGAAACAAGGGGTGACAAAATATAACACATAGGACATAAAACGTGAGGCACAAAGCACACTTGTGGTTTCACACCTGTAGATGTTTACGTAATCCAGCGTCGTTATGCTATGCCAGTTTTGACAGCCACCAGGTACTGCCTGCTGAGGTCAAATTGTGTCCATTTCCTGTATTTCTGATAATAAAAATGTTTGGTTAAAAGTGGTTGCATTGTCTTTTAAAGAACAAGGGCTGCAAATTTTTTTGACACAGAAAGCTCCCCTGGGACTCATTGTGAAACATCAGGTGATGAAGAATTTTTCTTTATGACTGGATTAAACCAAATTTGAATGTCTAAATAATCAATTTGGTTTCTTTTTTTTCACACACTGCGGGGTCATAAAAAAAGTGACGCAAATACCAACACGTTCTCACTCCCAACTCATCACATACAGCAGACGCTTGGTCGGCACCCCGTGCCATCACTTTGTAACACACCGGAGAACCCTTCAGCATCACTTTTCAAGGTGCAGGGTAGTCCGGTCGACTTCAACACGTGGTTAACGTTGTATGTGACGTAAGTTATTTACGTTACTCAACTTAAGTACGTTGGTTTGTTTTAGCGATCAAAACTTGGTTAGGTTAAGGGAAAGATCATGGTTTAGGTTAAGATAAGTGTGACGTAACTTAAAGGGAAACGTTGTTGATTTACAAGCGGCTTCATATCGTTGCAATACAATGTCATCCGGCAGCCTTTTGCCGGCAGGTGAGCGGGGAGCTGTGGGTGCCGGTAACACGGAGGGATGCCCAACATTCATTTGCACATACCACCCACATTGCAACAATCCCAAATCATCAGTTTCCCTTCAAGACGATGACTCCCAAAATGATATAAATGTTAGAGACTAGGCCTACCATTGCCTAACATTCATTGAGGAACCAGCAAAAACATGAACATGTGGCCTTACAAATGCCATACCCAACTTCAGATACTACATTTAATACTATTGCTTTACATGTTTTAAATACATAAAAACATAAAACACAGAAATGTTAAATGATAAGCAAAAACTACATATTTCCTTTTCTTTCTAAGCTCTCTTTCAGCAGATTTTCTTTTGCCTTACTTGGAATAGAGAGTGACGTGAACAGGCTGATATTGCACTTTTGATCTTTATGGACATGTGGAAATTGGGGTTGAGAGAGAACATTAAGCAAATGGTGGCTGGAAGAGAGACTTGTTTGATAAGAAGTCTCCCTCTCATTTGGCTGTGGGCTGTACGGGGGCAGGAGCCTTCATCCCTGAAGAGAAAACCACTGTGTTCTCTGAGTAAGAGGTAAAATAACAGTGTCCCACATTTCTCCATCTCAGCAGTTCGTAAGTCTTGACTTGAAGTGGAGATGAGTCAGATTGAGAACCACACACATAACTATTTTCTCATCACCCCTGCAGTCGTGTGTGAAAGTCAGGTCTCTTTATGCCCTGGATCACCTCAAGACTGGAGCCACAAAAACGGGACCAGCCGTGTGCAGTCATTTCAGATGTTTGTTAAGCGCCACAGCTGCTCTATTTGAGCAATATCGCCCACACATGCTGCACCTTAGATCCTCCAATAATTGCACGTCGGGGAGAGTGTTAGAGAGAAATGATTGTGTTAGTGTAACAAGGTTCTGGTCCAGATGTTTGGGATTAAAGGCTTGTTATGAAAATACAAAATAGTTACACAGGAGGTA